TGGGCATGATAATTCCAATCTTTACTTTCTGTAGAGTTAAATGAGCATTAGACCTCGCATATAATAGATGTAAATATAGGACCGTAGTTTTAAGTTGTTCCTATTGAAAACCTATTGATGTAATATAAGTAAACTGTATACGGTCCATGGTAGTCAATTCCTTCCCCCCTCCCTGTTTTTGTTTTTAGTCTTCCTCAGCCTTCCTGTGATTTCTTGGCAGAGTTCTTTTTGAAAAAAAAAAAGAAAAAGGAATGTGCTGATAATGTTTTAATCAGATTTTTAATCCATGCAGTCTGACAAGACTTTGCGATCAGAGTCTAAGGAAGTTAAATTCTCTCCAAAAACTGTAAGTTATATCTTTAGTGCACTGTTCTTCATTTCATTCCACCATCCATTTATACATCTTCAAGCCAATGTCATTATTCAGATTAAGGGAAAATTGAAAATATTTTGTGAAGAAGGGAATTCTCATCAATAACCGCAAAGATTCTGAATTGAAAACTGGTCAAGGACTCAAAGAACTAAATGATAACATGGTTAAATATTATTTTGTTTTCTTCACTAACTCAGATTACCATGTTGCAAGGGATTGCTATGTAAATTTATTTGTGGTGCCATTCTGGGTTTCCTGAGAATTTCAAATTTTCATTTTACCTAGTGAATTTCTCCCTTTAATCTGTTCGCTCAGTTTATCTCTTTCCCACCCCTCCTTCTCCGTGTGTAATTGTGTAATTTTTTGTATGTATCTAAGAAAGGTGATTTATAGTAAAGCAATAGTTCCCCACCCGCTCGGGAATTCCTTCCAGCGTTGAGCATCTGGAATGTTGGGTGTCATTGGTCAACTCACTAACCTAACTGTATGGGTTGCTTGGAGAATTTTTTATAGTATCTTCTGTATTTATAGGTAACTTTAAACAACAACTAAGTAAATGGTTTTATCATACTTTATATATCATGGTGTTCGTTGCACCTGGGATATGTAATATATATTGGGTATGCTTGTCATCTTGCTGGCTGGACTATTTCTGGGTTTTCTCATTCTATTTTTGTTTTCATTTCTGGATGAATATGCTGATTATATTTTGAGTATCCATCTAGTAATTTTATGATTTAAAGCATTTTGGGGTGATGTTACAACATACATACTGCTTCTGATTACAGGAAGCAAAGGACCTAAGGATGAAAGCAGATATGGTGAAGAGATTTATGGAGAAAGGTTACCGAGTGAAGGTACTTATTCCATTCTATTAAAGAGTTTTAATAATCAATGGATCCATAATTGTTATTGTTAGTACATGCTGTCATGAAATTATTAGTGTTTCCCTGGTAAAGGCATAGTCACAGCTTGCCCCTCTCTTTCTCCCTAGTCTTTGCTGCTGCTTTCTTTTGTTTCTTACTGTCTTTTTTTTAGACTGCATGCACTCCTTGTGAACACTACAAATTGCTACCGTTACCTTTCGCATCAGAAAATTCCTATTTGACAATTCTATTAAGAATCTCACACCCTTCATTTGATCAACCAAAAAATATTCAAGATGGTCATTAACGTTATCTCCTTCACTATTATTCTAAATTTCCTGAAACCTCTGCATCAAACCTTAACTTTCTCTAACCTTTAGAACTTGAACTTGCAATCTTCTTAAAATTTTGCCTGCCCTATGGACTTGTCTGCAGCATATGCAATCCGTCCGTGCTGCCTAACGTCAAGATAGGATTGATGTAAAACTGAATTTGCATAAATTTCTCAATGCTATGATTCAAATGATTGTATAGTCTCAAGGTTTACGGTTAAAAAGAAAAACACTTGTATAGTCTTGGGAAAAGGACTGCTCAGTTATCTGTGGCCACCGTTGCTTTTGTTTTCGAATCTGTATTTTGGGCCAGGAGAGGGCAGATGGTTGGAGAGGGTTGGCTAGTTTCCAGGAACTTTCTGCGTTGGATGATGATTCTGTATGTAACACTCTCTTTAGTGCCGGAGTTCAAATGAGCTTTTGGCATTGGGAGAGATAAATGTTGCAATATTTTCATGGAATTCATATTTGCTATGGTAGCTACTGGCTTCTATTCAGGTTATCCTCAAATTGTGTTGTGAAAATAGAGAATTACGTAGCTTGTTCATTCATGAATTCTGTTGATAGTGAACTATGAATGCCGGATGGGGTTTGTTTAGCTTAAACTTTAGACGTTATTTTAACACAACAATCCTAGAACATAGTACTGTATTCCTCACTAATTTATTTATTAGCCCATCTAGTTCATATGTATGCTTGTCAAACGCCTTGTAGATTCATGTGATAAGTAGTGTTTTATTTCCAAATACGTCTGTTTCATGGATCTATCCCCAAAATTCTTAAATTAAAGTAATCAGAATTAACTAATATTTACCTAATTGTGTTCTACGGATCTGAAACAGTGTACTGCCACGGATGCTGAGGATAAGAACTTGGAAGCATTGTTTGCTCCTCTCACTGTGTTGGTATCGTCAGATACTCTTTTGTCATTGTTTTGTATTCATTACTGTTTGTCTTCCTTTTTTCCTCCCACTCTAAGTGTAGCGACCGTTTGCAGATGGAAGATGTAGCTCTTGTTGAATGGGAGCCGACGCGGGGAAAAGGAAAAGAAGCATATATAATCGTCAGGCATAGGAAGTTTGGCCCATCAAAGGGGGCTGGAAAGAAAACGAAGACTGAAGAAGAAACTACCACTGATGTTCAAATGAAGGGTAGTGATGATGCAAATGCTACTACTTCACAGCGTGATATTCGGATAAATACAGTGCCACAAAAAGCTTCATCTCAGTCAGATATTAGTGATTCAGGCTTATTGCATGCCACACCTACCAGAGCACACACAGTTCCACTGCCCCCGGGAGAATCTTCTGACGGGACTCAAAATAGGTACAGAAACGATCCAAGGAATCCTTTTCCACCAAGAGGAATGGATAATAGGCTCCCGGGAATGAGAGAACCGAGGCAAGCTCAGACCAATGCACCTGTATTTAGAAACCTGACGCCTCCTCCTAATGATATCCCCAAGCAAGAACCATCGAGTCCTAGTGCTCCCCGGACTACAGGACCTGGTTATGGGATCTTTAGCAATCAAAATGGTAATGCTCCTCCTAGACATGGTGTAACGGACAGGGTCCCAGCAAATTCAAACTCACCCAGTTCAAGACCTGATAGTAGCCAAAGACCAGGCGCAGGCATTGATAAGGCTGGCGGATTCGGGATCTTCAGTAGAGAACGCTCTGGTGAGAGCCCAAACAGGACATTTAAGCCGAACTAAAGATGCTGAAATAATATTTAATATGTTATGATGATTAATTCAGATATATCTTACTGTATGGTGCTTACAATAATTAGTCATTGCATTCACCAATTATTTTGAGATGACCATAGATTGATTTCTCCTTCAAATTCAAGTTTTTCTGCCTTGGCTTGAAGGGGTCAAACGAATGTTCATCTGTCTATAATTTTTATTTACTTCGCTTAGTAAGCAGATTTTGCCATGGTTTTGGTATCCTGTCAGTCTTTAACCAACATTCTAAAGATTGCACTTTTATATTTTCTGTAAGCTTTAGAGATGGCCAGTGTTCAAAAATTGACCTAGGCGGGGCCTAGGCACTAGGCAGGAGGACACCGCTGTGATTTCACCCTAACCTTTAGGCGTAGGTGCCAGGGAGTTAGGCGGCGCCTGGCTCGGGTGGCTGCTTCTCTACTCGTCAGAGGTATCTTTTCTTTGTTGCTGCTGTTGGGGCTCATCTTATTTCAAAGGCGCGCAAGAGGAGACGATGGAGGCAGAGAAAGAGAGACAATGGAGGTAGAGAGAGATGGGAGGTGATGGAGGTGGAGAGATGAGAGATAAGTGAGAATGGGGTTCGTCCAAAAAAAAAAGAGTGGTGATTTCCCCACTCCAATTTTATCCACTTACACTCCATTTTATAACTAAAAAAGGAGTGTAAGTGGATAAAATTGAAGTGGGGAAATCATTACCCAAAAAAAAACGCCTAGATGGCCGCTTAGATCCCGATTACTCCTATATGCATGTTATATAGTTTTGGTACTGCATTTAAAATTATAGTGGTATCTTTTGTTTTGTTTTGCTTGGATAACATCGGATGGTTTCACATTCTTTAATGTGCCAACAATCTGCAACTGGAGTTTTAAATCTATAAAATTCTCAAGTGCATTCCAGATGATTTAATTTGAGTGGTTGTTGCATTCTCCCATCTAATTTACTAGTTAATGTAGTTTGAGGACGATGACTTAATTTTGATAAATATTTTTTGTTAACATTATTAACTTTTGAGTGCACATATGTGAGGGTAAATTGCACTTATTGGAGGTGTAGAATTTGAAGTTAGTTGATTGTAGTTTAAGTGGTTAAGAGCAGTTATCTCTGCCCTCGATATCATGTGTTCGAATTTCTCTCCTCTAATTAATATAGTTTTTATAAATAAAAAATGGAGAATTTACTATTATATCCAATATAGGGGCCTAAATTATATATAAAAAAACCTTACATGATGGACTTTAGAAACACACCCAAAATTCATTTACAACATAACAAAGAGACTTCGAACTTACTATAAATTACAAAACTATCATTGATTTCTTAAAACAAGCCCAAACCCAAAACTCCATAAAAAACCCAAAACACTAAAAAGAGCATAAAAGTAATTTAATAATAAAAAATTAAATTCAATAGGATCAGCTTTCATTTTTTAGGTTTGTTTATAGAAATTAAATGATGCAGAGTTTATCCATATCACTAGTGCTAAGAGTGAATATATAACTTAATATCTCATAAAAAAAAACCCCAAAAAATTGAAAATGGGATCAAGAAAATCGGGAAAAGGACCAACGGACCCTTATGCTATTTTACATAGTGGATCAAAATCCATGTTATGTTACTCACCAATTCAAAGCTTCGGACCCGGTTAAAACAAGCCAACCCACTCGGCCCGGGTCACATATATATGACGTGCCACCCAAATGGTCAGCCCGCACAGTGCACTCACTTAAGCCCTAGCGCGAGCCCGAGACACAAGCAGAGAGAGTGCAACACCACCACCATTAATCTCCAACTGTCAGCGCTCTCAATTTCAAGCTTGGACTTCAAACGCATATTCAGCTCTTCTTCGTCTACGTCTCCAATTCAACTGGTTCTTCTTGCCCGTCGTTCTCGTTCTTATTCTTCTTCTTGTTTCTACTCGTAGCTCACTGGAGGTAAATATTTCAAGCTCGCAGAAAAACCTAAAACCTTGTTTGGTTGTTAATGAATTCTTGGGTTGGGAGATAATACAAGGAAAATTTGGACTGCGCTTTTAGGTTTCCTGCTGTTTTGCAAACTGTAAAAAGCGGCTGATTTGACTGTATTTTACGAACTAGGTCTTGGGTTTAGTTGCTTTGTGTCTGTTTCACTCTGGTTATAGGGTTTCGGGATTGGTAATGCATTAAAACTGAGGTAAAATAATGGTTTTCGTTACTGAGTTGTTGGAGGTAAAATAAATCTGGTATTTAGATGAATTATAGTTTAAGATAACTCAGTTTATGGGAGATTTATGTTTTTAATCTCTTTTTTGGGTTTGTATCACCTACATTTAGAAGCCTTGGCCTAGGTGTTTGTGGAAACTATAGTAAGAAAATAAAAAAGCTCCAGAGTTTGAAATTTTATTATTATTTTTCTCGCTTTCAATTTGGTTTTCTTTCAGCAAAATGCAGGCTTAGTACTTATAAACTCATTGCTCTGTTTATTTATTTTTTGGAAAATGGTTGCAGATATCAGCAGCAGGTCTATCTGTGAGGTTGGTTTTTGCTACGTTGTTTGATTTGAAGAAAGGTTTAATGGATTTCGACGAGTATGAGTACTTAGAGAAAACGGTTGAAAATCCTGAACCCCAGAAAGCAAAGGAAACTGCAAATGGTGGTGAGGAAACTCTAAAATCTGGAGAGAAAGGTCGCAGTCGAAGTTCAAAACATAAGAGTGATGAGAAAGGTCATGATGAGGAACGTCACTCAAAGCGTTCAAAATCTGGAGATGACTCACGTGAACATGATCATGATCGGCACAGAGAGAGGGGATCTTCTCGTCATCGCTCACGGTCAAGAGAAGTAGAAAAGGATCGCCACAGGAGTAGCCGGGAACATAGAGGTAGGGAGGACAGGGAAAGGGAGGAAAGAAATGGAAGGGAGAGAGACAGGGACAGAGACAAAGAGCGGGATCCTGATCGAGCTAGAGACAGGAGAGAACGCGACCGTGAGGGTGACAAGGATGACAAGGACCGGGAGAAGGAGAAAGAGCGATCACGTCGAAGTAGGAGTCATTCAGAAAGGCATCGAAGTGATCGGGATGAAAGAGAGAGGAGCAGGGATGTGGAGCATAAAGAAAGAGATAAGGAGAAGGATTTAAGGGAGCGGGAAAAAGAAAGCAGGTATTCTTTAGATTTATATTGTTTGGCTTTTTGGCTGTCAAATTCTTTGTTAGACTGTATAGTTTGTGTTTGGACCACTATCCTTTTTAGCACACTAGCATAAGTGACCATCCACTGGATTAATCATTTAAAGTTTGATCAGATAGCAAGCCATTGTACTGCATATTAATAGCATAACTGAACCTCAAAGTATCTGCAATGGAACAAAATTTGGTCAATGAGTTTTGTTGTATGGAAAGTTCATTGGCTTCTTGAGTGAAAACAGTTAATTAATCCATCTTAAGATGATATTTTCTGTTGTTTCGTTGTTTTTCTCTTCTAAACTTGGACTGGATGACAGTAATTGTACTTTCAGAGGAATGAGAGAATGACACTGTTTCTCACTGCTTTACTTTCGGGGAGTGTGGATATCTATTATTAGCTATTGTTGTCTGCATATTTCTCTTTGTTCTCAATAGATATAAACTATAGTTCTCGTGAAAGAGGTATTGCGGCCCTTTTTAAGTTAATAACATGCAGGAAACATATTTATTTTTGGTTTTGCATTTTAAAAGGACAACTCTTGGAATAATGCATCGACACCCTTCTATTTTATGAATTCAGGGTGAGATATTGTAGTTTTAGCAGTTAAAGAGTATATTATGCTTTTAGTTGAGGATCAACAAATACTTAAGGGTGGCAAGCCTATATATGTTTGAATGAAAAACAGACCTCTAAGTATGTCTGATGCTGAGTTATGTTCTTCTGGAATGTCTTGGACAGTCTGAGCAAACTCTGTTCTCGGTTGATTGAATTTATGATTCATGGACCAGGCACTCTTCCAAAAGTAATGGTGGAAATAATTTGTGTAAATCTGTTGGTGAGGCTGCAGAGGCATTTACTGAGAATCCTTTGTCAGGATTTTGTTTGTGCAATTTCAGTTGGCATGTGTGTGTGTATATGCGACATATGCAAATGGGTAGTTTTCCCACAGGAGACACTTCGTGGGTTTCATAGGTGTTAACTGTGACAGGGGTATGTTAATTATTTCGTTTCCAGCTTTGTACTTTCCATTTAGAAAGGGGGCATTTTTGGTTTGGGTGACCGATTGTGTTGCTATGTGCACTTTAATGTCAATGTGACAATTCGGAAAAAGGGCAGATGGTTAGGGTGGTGGTGTTTCTTTGTTATATGCTATATTCTTCTCTTTGTGGCGTCTCAGTGTCATCACTACCTATGTAAAACAAGAATTGTTTTTTTTAGTTGTCATGAAGGCTATATTTGGGCTTCAGGCAAAACTAATGTGGAATTTCTAAATATGGTGAGTACTTGGTAGCCCCCCTTCGCCCTCTCTCCCCTTCTCTGTGAATATGCCTTGTTTGGTCATGCTTTACTTTTCTGGGTGGAAGTTGATGTAGGATTTTCTAGCTGGAAGTTGATTTAAGTTTTTTGGCCTCGATGTCTCTAGAACTGGAAGGCTGGCGAGTTGGTTTGAAATTATAGTATTGATAAGGACCTTGTGGATAATTTATCCGAAAAAAGAGAATCCTTTACATTACAGTAACTGTTTAAGTCGATGGAGACTTTGTATGCAGAAATGTAGTGGCATATGTCCAATTGTTGCAACTCAAAAAAAATTTTGGTTGCTAAGTGGTAAACTCACTTGATAGGGAACCAATTGTGTGCTTATTTCAAGTCTCCAATTCCCCAACAGTTTCCTGTTTGGTTTTTATGTTTATCCAGTCTGGTTTGACATTGGTTCTCTGCTGGGTGTGGAAGTGTATCCACTTTGAACATAAACTCACCTTTTCTGTGCCATAGATTGTTATTATTGTTGTCATATATTTTTTTTCAGTGTCAAATTCTTTCCACCTAAGTATTTTTAAGATTGGATAAGTGGGTTCATGCTATTGTTTAATTGAATATTCACAGTTAGTGATACTTAAGCTTCATAAGTTACTTCTATTAACAGCCTTAGAAATTCTGAATATTGAACACTAGATTCTGGGAACTCGCAGATATGCTAGAGCAATCTTCAGATGGTCTTTCTGGCAATTGGGCCAGGCACAGCTCAGGTCATGGGTCTTAAATGTTTCTTCTAAACTTTCTGGACTCTATTTAGAAGCTTGCAATGCAAGAGTGAGGGTTCAATGTCGGAGTTTTGATCGCGGTGGTGATGTCATGTTTTGCTTTTCGTTATCCTCCCCCTCTGAACTCAGTTGCTTAATTATATTTATTCTGTTGCAGAAATGCTGGTGGGGGAGTGATGGGCTTTGCTTAGAGAAGCACCTGATCTTCTGATGCTTGTGGGAAATTCAGTGTTCAGTGGTTACAAGATTGGCTGTTATTTTCTTGTAGTATATATGTATAATTTAATTTTAACGTGATTGATTGCTTGCCCGTAGTGTTTAGGTTATAGATAACCCTCTGCAAACTTTGGAAGTTGTTTTTTGTGATCGTTGGGTCTGGAGAGGACTTTTGTGGTTCTCCCTTGCAAGCTTAGATATCTGCTACTATTTAGCCTAATGCGTCTGTATAGGTACAAACATGCTTACATCCTTAAATATGTATGTACGTACACATAAATTAATACATATATATACTCACCTGCAAGCTTTTATTCCCATAATGAGAAACTTATGCAGATTGCTCATGTTAGAGGTCTCACCTTAAGATCAATATTGTGTTCTATTTTTGCAAGCTTTCTTATTGAGACTCATAGTTATAACACTCGCATCATTTTAACGTTTTGTTTCAGTGTGACTGTGCAAATAGATATAGTCTGTGTTTTTAGTTTATAGGTATCATTTTGTTCTGTATGTTTGTGATTCTTTCACTGGAATAAAACTTCTAACAGGTTCCAGATAATTGCAACTAGGTCCTTTGGTACTGCAATCCATACAACTTGATGATGCTGTTTCATTTAACATTATATTGCTTTATAAGGTACAAAATCTGTTGTTAGTCCATCTTATGAAGTTGGATTGCATACATTACCTGCTTAGAATCAATGTTCCCATTTCAGCTAATTGCCGTAATGTACTCCAGATTGGTTCTATTTATGATTACGATAACAAAGGCGCTTATGGTCACCATCTACATACATTGGCAATGTCATTTTAACTTTGTGTAGTTCCCTGCAGAACTATGATTCATGGGTTCAGCCTTTACTCACTATTGGAGAAAAATTTGCTGCCATTTTGGAAATACTCTTTTATTCCTTTCTGTTTATCATTTAAGGTTGTTTTCTTTGCCAAATTGAGAGATTTTATCCATTTTGAGGATCCAAGGATATTCTATGTTTGATCTATACATGTGTTGTCTTGACATGTTCTCCCCTGGATTTATTTATTAATGTTTTGTCAATAATTATTACAATTGTTGTCAAATTTTTGTTTCTCTGTTGCAGAAGACATAAAGACAAAAAGGAAGAAGTGACAGAACCAGAGGCTGATCCTGAAAGAGATCAGAGGACGGTATTTGCTTATCAGGTAAAGCAAATATGTTGGTGCATGCATTCTATGGTGTTATCTTGAACTTTCTATTTTTCACATTCTCATATCTTAACTATTAAGATTTGGTGAACAACTTTGACAGATTTGTCTGAAGGCAGATGAAAGAGATGTATACGAGTTCTTCTCAAGGGCTGGCAAGGTTTGTACATTTCTCGTTTATTTATCTCATGTTCATTTAACAAATCATAGAGGATGGTGGATAAAGATCTTAAACTATTTAGCTAAAAGGGACTTCTTGATATAAATGCATTATATTTTCTCCTTCTGCTCTCAAGGGGCACCCTAACACTATCTGATGCAGTGCTTCAACTAAACCAAATACTGGAAACCCATAACATTTTCCATTAAGTGCTTCTGTGGATGTAATTGTTAGTATATTTCTATGATTGTCTATCTAATAGCTCTGAATTTTGTATTTTTAGGTCCGTGATGTACGCCTCATTATGGATCGCAATTCAAGACGTTCTAAGGGAGTTGGGTAAGTTTTTCTTATGTCTTGGTGACAAAAGCTTTGGATGGTTGTTAACAGAAGGTTCACTTTAACAATTACCCAGTATGCAATGGTAGCGTTTAAGATGATGTGAGTGTCTTAAATTATCAGGTTGTTAATGAAAAGTTTATACGGTTGTGTTGACAAGAAACCATTGATTTCATTCTAAGGTTCAAATAAGACTATCCTTTTAATGTCACTTGGTCTTTTTTGGAATGGTTGGCAGTTCCTGCTTCCTTCTTGATGGCTGAATCTTGCTTGTTCCAACGTTTCCTTGTGCAGTACGAAGAATCATCACATCATTTACAATGTTCAAAATTTGCACCATCATCTTAGAAAGTTTACGATGATATTGATCACCTTTGTACTAAAAGCAGTACATATAGTATATACTATAGGTTATTCTAGTTGGTCAAGATGATCAGATATATCATATAGGACATTTTTCTTTCCCCGTTTTGAACTATGCGTGGAGACTCCAGTAAACTTCGCTAGTATATGCATCTGTATGTGGCAATTGGTTTTTGATTATCCAAGAGTCTAATGTTGTCTAGTTTGTAGGTATATTGAGTTTTATGATGCAATGTCGGTACCTATGGCGATTGCACTCTCTGGTCAGCCTCTTCTTGGTCAACCAGTGATGGTGAAACCATCAGAGGCTGAGAAGAATCTGGTTCAATCAACATCTGTGGTTAGCGGACCAGGTGGGATGATAGGCCCATATTCTGGCGGAGCTAGAAGGCTGTATGTTGGAAATCTCCATACCAATATAAAAGAAGACGATCTCCGCCAGGTGAGTACTTTTCTGACACAGTTCTAATGTTGGCATCAGATAATGTACATAATCGAGCTTGCTGTTGGTTATGTAATTTTTTTTTTGCTTTTGAGCATTTCTGTTCACAGTTTCCTAATTTTTTCTTTGTAATTGTGAATATTTTTTGCATTTTGATTTTCACCCTTTAATATTGTGATATATGCAGGTTTTTGGAGCATTTGGTCCTGTAGAACTGGTTCAGTTACCTGTTGACGAAACTAACAACTGCAAAGGTTTTGGATTTGTGCAGGTCTGTTTGACTACAACTTTCAACTTAAGCAGCCTGGATATAGAATAAATATATAAATGTTTGCATGCAGCTAGTTATATTAAGCCAAAGGTCAACCAACAAGCAATCCATAACCTTCAAAGACTGTTGGCATCCTTCAGTTCTGTTATTTATTTATATTTATTTTCAAGTCCAAATCCATGTAGGGGAAATTTATTAAACGAAAGAAAAAGAAAACTGTCAACTGCCGGTTCGTTGTAGCTTGAGTTGGAATTTGAAATTGACTCTAAACAAATGCACACCTTTTCTTGATTGGGTCTTCTACTGCACCAGAATTTAAAAAGAATCTAGTGTATTGTCTTTCAAGTTTCTTCTGAACTCAAACTGAGAAGAGCGGGCACCAAAAACTTCCAACTGCCAAATCCTTAGCTAGGTGCGTGCGTGGGTTGGGTTAAGGGTCAACCCACCATACAATTTCAGGTTACAATATTTTAAAACCTGAAAGGCCAATGAAATCAAGTTGGGTTGGCAATGTTTTGTTTTTCCTTCCTTTTAGTTCAATTCTATTCCAGTTCTTATCAGATGCTGGATATGATTCCTTGTAATTGTATTGAATAAATCAAACTCATTGAATCAGTTACTTGCTTGCAGTTCTCGCGTCTTGAAGATGCTAGAAATGCACTGAGTTTGAATGGACAATTGGAGATTGCAGGTCGACTAATTAAGGTAATGGCACTTTACTATATTGTTATTATACTTCTTCCTCCAGAAATATGCTTGCATTGTGTACTCTTTCCAAGTTCATCAATTAGGTTGTGTGTGTTACTGGTATGTTAGTTCCTCTGGTTAATTTGGTGATGCTTTTTTGACATGGCATGTATTTATTTGATTGTTGGAATTTTCTGTTGCTGACTCTGTTCAGCCTTTCATTGCCCAAATGCATTATGCAGTGTGATCACTGTAAGGTAGCGAAACCCAGCAGGCCTACTGTGCGATAGTGCATGAGCTGGGGTTATGTTAATGCGCACATTGAGTAGCACGTAGTTGATTTGGTGAACTTCTCATAATGTGCAGATTGTTGTAGCACGTAATTTTACCGATAACTACAAGCACTAGTTGATGATACTATTAGTATCATTGTCTTAAATAGTTATTGTGGTATTTCCTGAATAGAAGCCGTTTTGCTTTCGTGTTTTGAAATATTTGAATGTGTTGTGGCAATGTGTCACCAACTGCTATCATTCTGAGATTTATAGGGTGGATCAGAGTTTCCACTTAGAATGATGCTTTAGATTCAGGTTTTCAGAAGTCGTTGCATTGTTACATAATTGTGCATCCTTATGGTTTCCCAAATGGATGATTTTGCTTAAAACCATATATTAAGTAATTTGGGAGTTCATCTACCCGAGTCCTCATTTTTCTATTTAGGTGTCAGCTGTTACAGACCAAGCTGGAATGCAAGATCTTGGAGCAAATGCTGGTGATTTTGATGATGATGAAGGTGGTGGCTTGGTTAGTAAGATCTTTCCTTTTATGTTTTTATTTTCTATTAACACAAAGAATTTGTGGACTGATATGATTGCTAAGAACTGTTTGCTCTGGCTCAATAATATCTGGGAATAATTGTTGAATGTATGGAAGCTGCTGCTGCTTCATTGCTTTTATGCTTTTTTGCTGCTTGATGCTTATGGTATCTATAGTTGGTTCGATTGGCTTAGTATGTTCGGTGTTTATTGTTCTCTTATTTATTTGAGTAGATATATATTTCTTACTTCTTAAATGATTAGAGTTCATTCTCCCAGGAGAAAAATAAGGTCAAAAGATAATTTGAACTATCATCTCTTGCGCTCCTGCCAGCTTTTTAACCTTTGATATTGGAAAGATTGCTCATTTAAGATTTTTTTTTTTTGCTAGCAGATTATTGAAGTTGAGCTTGATAATTCAAAATAACATAGCATCCATGAATTTTGTAATCATTTTACTGGTTTCGGCACTTATCCCTCCCTTTTGCTTTGACTAGTAAGGTATGCATTGTCTCTCAAGGCATTGCAGACGTCAGCACTGCAAAGCCAAGGGTGATAGTTTGGCATAGAAAGAGTGTCTGCACTGCATAATTTTTGTTGTTGACCTAAGTGAAGGTGATTGACGTATTGTTTTATTAATCTTACAGTCATTGAATGCCCGCTCTCGGGCAATTCTCATGCAGAAATTGGATCGCAGTGGCTCTGGATCAGGGTTGGTATTTTCTGAGCACTTTATTCTATTTTGAATTGTTTTAGTTGGTCTTACATTGGCTTTGTATGCAGTATTGCTGGTCCCCTAGGCACTCCCGCTGTCAATAGCACCAGTGTTTCTTTACCAATGGCACTACCAATGGCACCACTCCTGGGAGCTGCACCAGTGGTTTCTCCTCTTGTTCCTCCCATCACCGCTGTTCCTGGTATCGCTGGACTTGGTGTTGCTGGTCTTCAAATTCCTACTGCTACTCTTCCTTCTATAGATACAATTGGTGTTCCAAGCGAATGTTTACTGTTGAAAAATATGTTTGATCCAGCAGTTGAGGTTGGTGGTGGATTCTTCTGATACTGAGAGATTTTCTTCATTCCCTTGGTGGTTATATTATATAATTTGTCTTCCTTTTTGAGCAGACGGAACCAAACTTTGACTTGGACATTAAAGAAGATGTTCAGGAGGAGTGTTCAAAATACGGGAATTTGAGGCATATCTTTGTAGACAAGTAAGTTTTGTTCGCATTAGTTATGTTGTCCTTTGTCTCTTGCACATGTCTGACGTACATTCATGTCAATGAGCAGGAATACCGCTGGTCATGTGTACTTGCGATTTGAGAATACACAAGCTGCGATAAATGCTCGGAATGTTCTCCATGGAAGATGGTTTGCCGGAAAGATGATTGAGGCAACGTTCATGGTACTTACATATGTTGTGACTATATATATTTTTCATTTTGGAACATCTCGTTTAAAAAAATTTATTTTAATCTTTGCAGTTGCCCCAGAACTATGAGGCTAAATTCCCGGAAAGCAGATAGGATTATTATATGCAGTGTTGGAAATGTAGAAAGTGTAGCTGGTAATGCCTGTTGGTGGTTAAGCCTTTTGGGTCCAATTTTCATGTGAGAGAGTATTTAATGAATTATCATCAGGGCTTTTTGTGTGAGAAGAAAGAATGTCATGCTCAGTTGAGCATTTGGAATTTGTTGATGGGTCAAAAGTTAGATGTACATCAACTTGAAATTTTTACCGCCAGGGTGACATGTGAATTTACAGTTACAGATATGGGTTTGTAGACTTATTGATGTTCACATTTGTCAACAACTTTCAATGTTATAATATTTGTCTGCACTAAACTGCCTCATAGAAGGATTTCATATATTTGCAAGATTCACCTCACCCGACCTACAAATTGTGTTTTGTCAAAACTTGAAAAATTCAAAGCAATTTCTTATACGCATTAACCTTCAAATTTAAATAACCGTTGTGGTATGTCCTTGTTTCGTGTTTTTTAAAATAAAAATAAAAATTAAAGATTATTTGTTTATGTTTTTCGATTAAAGAATGAAAAGGAAGAGGGAGATGTGAAACAAAAATGAAGAAAAGAGATGCAGGAAAATTAGAAAAGGTAAAGGGTCATTCTTACTTATTTTTTTTATATTAAATAGTATAGCCGCACGGCTATACCTATTTTGAGACATGGGCCTAACCTCTAAGGAGTATTTTTTAATATTTACTAGCCTCTCCGCATTTCTTAATTTTTTTTATATTAAATAGTATAGCCGAACGGCTATACCTATTTTGACACATGGGCCTCACATCTAAGGAGTATTTTTTAATATTTACTAGCCTCTCCGCATTTCTTAATTTTTTTTATATTAAATAGTATAGCCGAACGGCTATACCTATTTTGACACATGGGCCTCACATCTAAGGAGTATTTTTTAATATTTACTAGCCTCTCCGCATTTCTTAATTTTTTTTATATTAAATAGTATAGCCGAACGGCTATACCTATTTTGACACATGGGCCTCACATCTAAGGAGTATTTTTTAATATTTACTAGCCTCTCCGCATTTCTTAATTTTTTTTATATTAAATAGTATAGCCGAACGGCTATACCTATTTTGACACATGGGCCTCACATCTAAGGAGTATTTTTTAATATTTACTAGCCTCTCCGCATTTCTTAATTTTTTTTATATTAAATAGTATAGCCGAACGGCTATACCTATTTTGACACATGGGCCTCACATCTAAGGAGTATTTTTTAATATTTACTAGCCTCTCCGCATCCGCTTCCGCACCTGCGCGAGGCTTTTAAAAAAAAAAAAAAAATTTATTTTAGAATTAAAAAAGATAATGGGTAGTTGTGTTCCATAAAAAGAGGATCCATTATCTAATTTTTATTTTTAATATAAAAAAGTGTGAATTTACCATATTATCCTCATTTAATTAATAATTTCAATTCTTAATGTTTGCATTAACCAATGGCATTTTCTTGTGTTTGTACCATATCTGACCCTCCACTCATACAACGACACGTGGATCAGAAAAGCTCACCCAAGTACCCAAGGCCTCGAACAATCGGCATCGGCTACCGATGACATTGTCTCAAAGCTGCAAAAGATCATTACAGGGCCCAACACAGCCTACAATCGGTATCCCCTACCGATTGTACATAATCAGCCTTGAAGCACCCGCCCGAAATATCTAAGGACTCGTGTCAACCTCACAGGGCCCTCCCACGAGTCCCACATCGGAAATGAACACCACAAGCATCCCAAATGCCCTCTATAAATACACCCCTTCACCATCAACAAAGGGGTAAGACTTTTCAGCTTGACTTTTATACTACTATATAGTCAACAGCAAGAGCTCTTAAAAACAATCTTACTCGAGCATCGGAGGGTCTTAGGCTGGTTCCACACCGGTTCCATAGACTTTACGAGCTTCGCTTATCTTCTATTCAGGATCAGCATCCAAGGACAGGAAGAATCGGCATCCAACACCCAATCGATCTCTTGATCGTCCATCCCACTTGTAAGTTGCACTCATCTCTATCTATTCAAGATTTAGCGCCAACAGATTGATCAGCTTCAGCCATGCCGAACGGCACCTTCTAGGAGACACTTCTCCAGCGCCTTTTCTCAAAGCCATCAGCCTTCGGCCATCAGCTTCGGCCATCAGCTTCGGCCATCAGCCTTCGGCCATCAGCTTCGGCCATCAACTTCAGCCTTCGGCCATCCGCCTTCGGCCATCAGCTTCAGCCATCAGCTTCAGCC